GTGTGTATGACTGCGTATGACTGCGTATTGTTACGATAAAAAAAAATGTGACGAAATCACGTGATACAGCTGTTGATCAATGGTAATTACCGGGACGATTAATATTACCGATGAATGATCAACGTCACATAACGGGAAGATCAATGTACGAAATGTTTAATATATCAAATATATTAAATATATTGCACATATGGTATATATGGCACATATTAAACATTTTAAACATTTTTAGTTTGGAATTTTATGTATATATAGACCTGTAATTAGACCTGTAATTAAAATAATTCAATAAGAACATGTGTGAAGAATTTAATTAATAAAATGTTTACCCTTTAATATACACCTTAATTTTAAGTTTGGTTTTATATGGTTAATCTGCTTTCCTTTATTTGTGTCTGATTGTATGCGCCAGTGTGAAGTGATACTCTATTCACATCTGATTGGATTGATTTTAACATATACGTTGATCTTTAAAATTAACCTTCTGCTTTATTAAATATAAACATTTTTTAATGTATAGCTTATTTTTAAGCTTATAAGAACTGACCTCTAACAGTATGAAACTTCGGAGCAAAAATGGGTCCGTTATTTTTGCAAATAGCGGCAATTTATATTGTACCATTATATAAAAAATGGCCGATTATTAGCGATTTCTGAAAGAATTTTGGTGATTTCTGGCTTGTGGGTAGTTTCATTATAAATAAATTTAAAATTAACACTATTATATTTCAAGAGAAACTACTTAAATAACTGAAATTTCCCAAGATTTCCTCTGGTAATTGCTAATAATCGATAGTTATTCAGGAAAATCCCGAAAACCGATTCTTTAGGGGATGACGTACAGACTAACTTGAAAACAGCAATGTTCTGCCGACATGTGATTATGTGATCATTTAATCATTAAATGATCGGCATAGAAACCTTTTTTAATATCATTATTTTAAAAATAAAAATGTAAAATGTAAAATAACAAAAAATGGGAATATGGAAGGTATCAATTTTCATAAAAAAAAAATACCCCGCAGGTAATTTTATATGAAGCTAACTTTTTTTAATTTTTTTATTTTATTAGGAAATGGAAATCTTTCTCTTTCGTAATTAAGAAGTTTTTTTTAAAATGAAATGGAAACTTATATTAAAACCGAGTTTAATATTACTTGAAAATCTTTACTAGCGTACGTAAAAATTTATTTTCCAAGATTTGAAAAATTTTCTGTATATAAATACAACCAATTTTGCTTTTTAATTTTTCTTCATCCGAAAAATCAAAAAATCAAAATAATAAAAAATCCTAACCAGAGTCTAATTCTCCTCCTCCCTCATTTTATAATACTATAACATTCTTTATCCACTGCGTGGATAGAATAAATTATTAAATCATCACCTTCCTCATTATTATATTTATCTCCTTAATTTAAAATTCTTACCTACTAATTTCCAAAAAAAAAAAAAAAAAAAAANAAAAAAAAAAAAAAAAAAAATGGTTGCTCCACGCTTCGCTAAAATATTCTCTATCGCTGTAATAGTTACTTTCTTGCTCTCCTCGGCTGAATCAGCAAAAAATGAAACTGGTTGCCCTGATACATTATCAATCAATGCCAAGCCCAATGGTAAAGGGAAAAAATTTATCGTTGTCTTTAAAGACAAGAAAGCTGCTGAAAGGCAACATGAGTTATTTAAAAATTGTCTTGATGCAGAAATTGATAGTTTCGAAAAAATTAAATCTCTTAGCAATAAGGGCAAACCCACTTTCGTTAGTTTCGGAATTGTTAATCTCTTTGGTCTTATTGGAGAAATGACACCACAATTTGCAAAGGAACTTGAAAAAATGGATGATGTTGATTATATTGAAGAAGATGGTGAAGTTAGGACTCAATATGTAGTACCATCTCAACTTACTAGACGTGCAGTAGACAATAAACCAACTTACAATATTGATCGTATTGATCAAGCTAAACGACCTCTAGATGGAAAATATACTTACCCCGATTCTGCTGGAGAAGGTGTAAATGTTTTTATTGTCGATACTGGTATTCGAATTACACATAAAGAATTCGGTGGTCGTGCCAAATTCGGAGGATCTTTCTGTGATGGATGCAACAAAGAAGATGAATTTGGTCATGGTACTCATGTTGCTAGCATTGCATGTGGAGCAACTTTAGGAGTAGCAAGAAATGCCACACCAATTGCTGTTAGAGTTTTGGACGCTGATGGTTTTGGAAAAAATAGTGGAGTTATCGCTGGATTGAACTTTGTAGGAAAAACACACAGTAAGAGTAAAAGTAAGAAATCAGTTGTCAACATCATGTCTCTTGGAGGTAATCCATCAAAAGCTATGAACGATGCTGTCAAGCAACTTACCAATGCTGGTGTTCACGTAGCTGTTGCTGCAGGTAACGATAGTCAGGATGCGTGTAATGTATCACCTGCATCTGAACCTAGCGCTATCACGGTCGGTGCCACCGAACAAAATAGTGACGCAATCACAGATTTCTCAAATATTGGAAAATGTCTCGACATTTTCGCTCCAGGTCGGAACATTCAAGGTGCTAATTTTAAAGCCGATACTGGTAGTGTAGTATTTTCCGGCACCTCTCAAGCTACCCCACATGTTGCTGGTACTATAGCTCTTATAATTGCCAAGGATGGTAACAAATCACCAGCTGAAATGGCAACCGCAATTAAAACTTTATCAACAAAGGGAGTCGTTAAAGGTCTTAAGAGTGGTTCTCCAGACAGCTTTTTACGTATTCCAAGCGCACAAAATATATATAGAATGCTTTAGATAGACATATAGTAAAATTGTACTATTTAATTACTATATTATTATTATTATTATTTATTATTTAATTCTTGACTCTGGTTAGGTGTGTTTTAATTAGAAATTCTAAACACATTCTTTAAAAATCCGCTTAAAAAAAATAAGCGGTTTAAATAATTGCAATTTTGGATTAATTGTAATCAAAAAAAATATAATATCTTTAATTTTACTTTGAATTCAGTAAATTTAACTATTCAATTAACTTTTAATTCAATTCAATCAACTTTTAATTTTTTAATTCAATTTACTTTTTTGTAAGCAATCATCAGTAAATGTTATTTCCAAATTGTATTATTAACGAAAAAATTTCCTTATTTCTAATTTAATAATGTAATACCTCATTAAAACGCTAATTTATGACAAAATAATATTTATATATATCATACAAATATTGGATTAATTATCAGGGGAAAATGAAATTTTTTATTTTTACGTACATTGGCGTTTGTAATAATTAACGCACTACACTAATTATTACAATTTATAAAAAAAAAAAATACGGCCATGTAAACAAAATTTCTTAAACAATTTCTTTGTTGATAACCACAGACTATGCTTATTATGGGATTCTCCCGAAATCCCGACAACCATAATCCCGATGTGATAAAATCTTGACACTCCTATTCCCGACAAAGACAATATCCAGAATGATTAAAATACTGAAAGAATTATATCCCGAATAGTCCAAAATCTGGAATTCAAAATTCCCGAAAGTTCAAGTTACTGATGAGTCAAAATCCCGACACAATAAAGAAAAGAATTTTTTCATGTGATCATTTATGTAATAAATCGTAGTGATTGCACAATTGTTAATAATTTGCATAATTTGCCAAGGAGTTATTATGTCAATTACTACTGCGTGATCTCACTATATATTATACTGTAACATGTAAGTCATAAATCAAAATTGCAATTTTTTATCATTTAAATTGGAAATAGTGCATATGTATTGTATATATGATTGTATTAATTGTCGCAAATTATATAATCAGTAGGAAATGATCTTCCTAGTAAAAAAAAATCAAAGAGATACTCAAAATTATAATATTGTGTCGGGATTTTGACTCATCAGTAACTTGAACTTTCAGGAAATTTAAATTCTGGATTTTAGACCATTCGGGATATGATACTTTCGGGATTTTGATCGTTCAGTATATTGTCTCTGTTAGGAATACGTGCCTCGGGATTTTATCATATCGGGATTGTGCTTGTCGGGATTTCGTGGTAAACCCGCTTATTATACATGTTAAACCCAAATATTAATGGTACTTTTGTATTTAAAAAGATGATGGGAAGATTAACAATTAAATTCTTAAATGGATATCTTCAAGACTTGATTCAGTTAAGAATATAATTAAGCGTATTTACTTACTTATTTACTTATTAGAATTCTTTTTTTCATAGATTACCATAGTGTCATGAAATTAACTTTAGTCAAAATTAAAAAGTTTATTATAATAAATTTTATTAAACCTGCGTTCAAATCTAAAAATCGAAAAATTCTCTTACCCTATAAAAAAAGAATGTCCGGAAATTGTAGCTAAAAACGTCCGGAAAATGTTTATTTGTCTGGAATATGTCCGGAATATTGCAATATTCTGGACGTTGGAAAATTTCCATTTTCCAGAAAATGTCCAGAAAATGTCTAGGAGGGTTCAGACCGAAAGTGTCCGGAATATTGCAATTTTCTGGACGTTTTCCGGACACACGGACATTTTCCGGATGTTTTTAGCTACAATTTCCGGACATTTTTTTTTACAGGGTTAAATTTGTAACGTTCCACGAAAAATGAACAGTTTCATTATTTTGTGAAGAAAAAGAATTTCTCATAACGAATCCTATCTTTAAACGGTCGCCTCAGAGAGACTCCCATTTCTAAATCATCAACCGAATGGGCAAAGAAGCAAGAATTTTTTGTTCATTCAAAGCCTTTATTTAGTAACAATTTCAAAACCACGTGTAACGACGTAAATTCTAAAACAACTTAAAAAAATATATAATTCTTATTACAATTGTTAATAATATTTATTAATTTAAAAGATCAGTGATAGGGCTACTGTGACAGTAGTAACTATGGCGACCATTATGTTAAAATATAAAGAAATAATGAAATAAATAAAAAAAATAAATAAATGATTATTGTAAAATGGAAAAATCCTATTCATTGAACGTTAAGAATTTATTGTTGAAACCGAGCAAGAACCCGTTGAAGCTGATTTTGAATATCCGAATTAGTTGTAGGCATAAGAATAATAGTTGCCTGAGGAGAATTAATATTAATACCAAACGAACTAAGCAGAGGAAGGATATTAGATTGCGATGGATTACTAGGTTGGTTTTGATCGTTGTAAGATTGCGGTGGTGAAAAAACGTTATTGGACGCGGATTGTTGATGAGTGAAAGCGTGATGATTATTACTATTATTACTAGAAGAAAAGGTAACGTTATCGTTTGTATCGACATTGGACATGTGTTGTTGATAGTTGTGGTGGTGATTATGGTCAGAAATAATAGTAGGATCAGTAGCATTGTTGTTAGAAATGCCAGATTGCTGGATATGTTGCTGATAGTTATGGTTAAGAACATTGTTTGAAACATTATGTTGGTAGTGATTATTATTAAACGAAGCGTGATCAGGAGGAATAATGACGCCATTGTTCTGATCAGAAATTACGTTAACGTTATTGTTATACGTGACAGGCGTATGTGTATCGTAAGTCTGGGTAACAGCTGTTTGAGAATTGGATTCGTAAACATTGTTACTAAAACTATTTGGAAGAGAATTATTAATATTCATAATAATAATAATTATTATTATTATTATTATTTTGATAGATTATTGAATTGATGGAAATGAAGAATATTTTTTGAGAGAAGAACATTTCAAAGGTTTATATAAAAAAAATCTCGTAAACAACAACTTATTCTGGCGTAACACGAAATCGCACTACTATCATATACAGGTATACACAGCAAATAAAAAAAAACTTTTTTATTACTTTAAAATTCTTTTGATGAACATATTTGGATTTTGGATTGGCATCAATTATAAACCATTATATTAAAATATATATATTTTAAAATAATACCAAGTTATAATAAAAAAAACTTTTTTATTACTTTAAAATTCTTTTGATGAACATATTTGGATTGGCATTAATTATAAACCATTATCAGTTATGAAAATCTGATATTTTAAACCGATTTACATAACATATATACTTTATTGGTCTTGGCGTGTAACATTATTTATATTATCTAATACTTTGAAAAATTTGAAGATCATTTGTTTAAAGGACAAAGAATGCCAAAAAAGGAAAAAAAAATTTTGCAAAAAATAATTCCGTATTTTTATTTATATATATATATTTTTTTGATAAACGCATTAATTCCATATTTTTATGTTTATTGTTATAATAAGAACCTATTATTATATTAACTGAACCTAATAATCGATTAAACTCAATTATCGAAACTATAGTGCCGGCCCGAATTACGAAATGATAAAATTTTGAATTGTGACCGGAATTATAAGCTTGGCCAGAGTTACCGCCAATCACAGATTAGTGCAATAAACATTTTATTTTAAATGTAAAATCATAAAATTTAATAATCTAATGTTTTATATGTTAAATTTGTGATCGTTGGAAATTTTCCTGTCACAAATTTAATGATGCATAATCGATTAGAAACAATTAATCTAAATCGAAAATCGAATTTTAGAATCGAAATTTGAGAAACAATTAATCGCGATTAGTCGATTCTAAAATCGATTCCAATCCATATTCCTAATTTCCGATATATTTATAATGCTTCAAAATTTAGAGTATGAGATTAAGATAAATATTTATAAATATGTCGATTAGACGATTACACTCTTAATTTGGCATTAACTTGTCGAACTGGTCTGTCATTTCAAAGGATGCTTATGCCAAAACTGAATGGTTGTTAGTACGCTATGGAAAATCGCATGCATTATTTCGCGCTGTTCGATTGGGACTTACTTTCATAGATATTCAGTATGTAAAATACAGTATTAATCACGAGGAAAGTCCAAATATCAAGATATTTTATTCAAAGGTTACTTATGCACTTTGAGAAATATGATCAAAAATCGATAAACTAAAAATAAAACTGACATAACGTTGGTCAGCTTGATGCGCTTTTCAACAAAAAATTAAATCCCCTTAAGAGTTTTTTCGCTTTATCTCCGCAGGCCCACATGATAAATTACGCTCCCATCAAAACTGAGATGTTGGAATCACATGTACAGTTTCTGCAAGCGAAACTACCAAATTAAAGAGGGATATATTTAGAAGATGTTAACATGGATTTGAATTTTAAGACGACATTCCTGATTTTATAGAGATATATTTAAATATCTTTGTAAGTTTGATATAAATGATAACAGTGGTTTTTAAATGACTAGGTCAGTAATTATAAATATTGTAAAAACACAGTATTTTATAATTTCTTTACGATTTTGTTACGTCTAAAATGATAATCTCATAAAATAAAAAATTCGGGAAATATTGAATTTTTCAGTTCAATAGTTACATTACTTTTCCATTAATCGTCTATCTAAATACGAAATTAGAAAAAAAAGAGGTTTTTTCGATCATTATTTATTTATTTCATTTATGTAATACAGAATAATTTAATGAACCTTTTTTTTAATTTAAATTTCATAGCTTAAAGTTACTAATTTTTAAAATTGCTTGTATCTTATAAATAATTGTGTGAACTTTTCAAATTCTTTTTCTGATTTTTCTGAATATAACAAAATTTCGAAATTTGATTTGATTCTCACGAAATCGTGCTCAAATTTATTAAACAGCGACAAGTCAATGAACTATATAATTGGAATAAAATCTAATATGTATATTAATTGATTTAAACGAACTGAATTCTAAATCGTTCAAGGACACGAATTTTAAACTTACACTTAAACGTGTACTTATTGCTATTATTACTAACGAAACAATATTATCAAAAAATTTTTTTAAGCTATTCTTTTAGAACCTAAAAACAACAACGCCTAGATGTGCAAACATTATATAAAAAGACTGGTTGAAGTTTTGAAGTTTTTTTGATTAAAAATATGTAAGAAAAGAAGTGACGAATATACTAACTCGGTTCTGCCTTCTGACTCAGGTCCAAAACTTAACTCCGGGAACCATTTATATGTAATAGTTATTTACAGGAAATTGGATATCATTGATTTCATGGCTGCGTCGTGAAAACCATGATATTCTACCGCCAGGGTAAACTAAACAATATATCAAAATAAATAAATAAAAAAGTTCATCTAAATCATACAGTATATAAAATGAATTTTACATGTTAAGAAAATATTTAAAAGTGTAATCGAGCACCCAATTCCTCATTTCCAAAACTCCTTATCTTTTTGTATAAATTTTTTAGATTATCAGCAATCAAATAATCCATCTTGCATAATGCCTATCAATCTTATACCAATTATGTCAATTATAAGCATCCAAGATTGAATGGTGACTTTCAGGTCAAAATTCTCGTGATTAAAATTAATATTGTCACATTGCTATATTTGTATAACAACGAAAATTTTTTTAAAATACTTTTCTAAGTCGGATTAGCCTTTTATCTCCGATTATTTTGAGTATAATCTCATAATAAACTATAGCAAATTATTAATTGCAATATTGATAGTAGTGTTGACATATTTAACATAAACTTTTACAAAAATGGATATTTTTTTACGTTGAAATTCATCGTTAGAATATAAAAAGCTGATTATAAAAATACCCTAATCATATAGATTAGTGTATGACGGATATTTATGTAATTATTCGTGTATACTGTATATGTGATAAAAAGAGATTTCTAATTTATTATGGAATTTGAACAATAATAATTGTTAATAAAAACCATCCTAATAACTTTATCTATACGGTACGGGTATCATAGTCCAAATTATTCGACAAATTTTAGATCCGGATATCCTGTTCAAGGATAATCCGAATCAGGATTTTATCCGTTCAAGGAAAACTCTACTTAACTATTGCTTGATTTAATTTTATCACGCGCATCAGCAGTTAGAAAAGAGCGTTTCACACAAAGAGCGAGGTAGGCAGGTTTTTCCTATGTTTATCTGACAAACCTATTTGTTAATAATATTACGATAATATCATCGTTTATATTGGTTATTGTCAAAGTTTCACCAATTGATCACGTGACTTTGCCTATACACTCATGATCGCCCGTTAATAATAAATAACTTACTTATCGTAAATATTAACTTGATTTAATTTATTCGTGTATCTAGCTCTGGATTCAGATAATTAAGTGCATATTGACCCTATAAAATTTTTTTTGGAAATTTGATCGCACGTCAGAATTTTTTTGGGATAAAATTAGAAAAATGATCATTTATTGGAGTTTTTCCCGAAGAATTTTTCATATGTGACGCGTTGTTTATAAATATTGTATCATAAAGAATTATACGCAACTTGATTTAATAGGTTCGCGCATCTAATTATTGATCTTCCTTCCGTTAATAAATATTTTTCTTTTTTAAATTTAGTAAGTGTATTCTATCTTTTTACGTGATAATATTGTAATTATAATCGTTCTTAATTTTAACTAATTTTGTTTTGATTGTAATTTTTTAATTTAATATTGATTTAATGTCAGTGAAAAAGTAATGAATTAAACATTATGATTTCTTTTACAATTTTACTATGTACTGTATATGATCATCGCCTTTTTTAAATTAGTTACAACCCACTAACTTCAAATATGGCGGAAAATACGATGCAATAAAATCTTATTTAAAATAACAAGGCTTAAATTAAATTTACGGAATTGCTTTTTTTTTTTTAAAAAAAAAAGAAAAATTATGTTTTGTACAATACGTCAGTGTTGGACTATGACCTAAAATGACCTATATGACCTCTATGACTGGTCATAGGTCATTTGGTCATTTTAAAATTATCTAGTCATATGACTTTAGTCATATATTATTAACCAATCAAATTTTAGTAAATTTTTAATATTAGATTAATTAAAAGTATAATTCTGGCCAGAATTAAAGATCAGTATCAAAATTTCCTTTTTTGTAATAATTGTGTAACTTAAAATTCCAAATTTCATGAGAAATAAAATTGCCTTTTTAGGAAATTTGTGTAATATCACGTGATATAATTTTGCAAATTTTGTAATTTTGGCCAAAATTCTTAATTTCAGCCTAATTATGACCAAATGTCATATGACCATTAAGTCATAATGGTCATTTCAAAATTTTCATATGACCTGGTCATTGTCCATCACTGCAATACGTAGTTATGGATCATAGGTACCTTAATCGATTAACCGTCTTAGTCGATTAATTAATCGATTAACCTTAATCGATTCCAAACTCTACAACCTTTGTATAAGCCATACAAGTAAATATCGGTTGATATGCATTGGTCCAGAATTCGGATCTTCCACGTGACCAATTTCTCTCACGTGATGCTGACGATTTTCGTTCATGGTTCATAAATTCCCACATAAAATCCACTAATTCTATAACTAAAACGAAAAAACGTTTTTGTTTTTCTATTGCTTTTCTCTGAAATATCCTTATATGTTTCCTTTTTTGCGCTTCAATAGCTTCATATTGTTGACTCAAATGAGTTCTAATTCTTTCAAAATATTTTCTTCTAGCTCGAGATGGAATGAATTCTTGCGTAAAACATAAACTAGTAAGAAAATTACTAAATTTATATTTACCATTCATATATTAGCTGCATTCGTGGTGATAAATTCTGATTTCTGATAACATTTGGGGTTATTCGTATGTATCACTAGATTATCCAGTAATAATAAAAATTTCTTCTTCCAACATTGTACAAACGATTGGAACCTGCATAAGATTTCAATGGGAACTGCGTATCATACACGTAGGACAACTTAAATTCGTAAGACTGCACGTTGTCTGATTATCTATTGATTTGTTCAATCTTCACAGATGTTGCATGAAATTCAGCAAGCTAGATTACCAAAATCGTCAGATCATGTAAAATTTTTCCCACCGAAAAATTTTTGAAGAAAAGAAAATTATTCAAAAAGAAAGGAGGGAGGAAATACGTAATAGTAATAACAAAAAGAAAGTAAAAGTAGGAATAAACGCTATACAATAGCTAAACCAAATAGAAATTTGTGTATAACAAAATATCTATTATTAACAAGGGGTTCTCTTTCAAATAAAACTCGTTAAGTTGTATCTATTTTTTCTTTTCTAAAAAATTATTTTAGTGATGGCAAAAGTTTTATCTAATAAACTTCGGACCGAATACGTTTGAAACTGCCCACAAAGTGGTAAAAAGTCCTTTTTTTGTATTTCAAGTTAACAACAGTTAAAAACTACTACGGATTTCTCAAAAGCGCACTGCGCCACACTAGTAGAAACGAGGGAAAGCTGTCTTTTTAATCTTTAGATTATCAATTATTACGTCAAGATTTTCTAAAAAATAATGTTCTATTCCCTAAATTGGAATTTTACCATGACTTTTTCTTTTAGAAAAATGTGATTTCTTTATTTCTTTAGGTTTTGGTAATAAGATTTGTTATATAAAATATATTTAACAATTCAAGAATGAGACAATTACGGCCTTTTAAAAAAGACATACGTCAAATATGGTGTATTTATGGAAAAATAAGCAGAAATTATTGGTGAAATGATATGCTAGGCTCTACCGATTGAAATAAGCATAATATTAAAGGTAGTATGTCAATTAATATTAGTGAATAATTAATTTACTTCATATTGAAAAAATATAGATGAAGATAAAACATTTAAATGAACTATATCATCTTTTTAAATGGCCAAATGTATATATCAATTTACTAAAAATAAAAATTTCTATTAATTCTACTAATATTAGAAAACCAGGTCTTCGTGCAAGGTTAATAAAAAGACACGAAAGCTCACAGATATCGCTTCTAACATAATTTCTGTAACGGATTCAGATCATGAAGAAGTTGAAGAAAATGAAGATGTTTAACAATGAAAATCAAAGAAGCTGCAAAGGAAGTAGCGGATACAACCACATCAAATATCCTGTCACGCTCGAATATCTGGTCGCTACACGTCTCATCATCACAATCTGGTATTTATCAATTTAATATAAAATTAAAGTTTATAAATTATCTAACAATAATTTATTTTTAAATTTAACATAAAAATACTGTAGGAAACTTAACTTGCATCTATTGTACCGGTTTCCACTGGGTAGCTTACTGCGATAAAATCCCTTCCGAGTTTAAAGGCCAATGTGTTAAATGCTGGTCCAGCAAATCTTACCAAGCGAAAAATTGTAAATTTAACACCAGAAAGGAGCCTGGCTTTAAAATTTTAATTTTCAAATAAATAAATTTTTTTTTATTTTTATTTTTTGTCCAATCGTGTCTGATTGGGGTCAGACTTTTTTTCATATTTTATATTTTTTTATATTTTTTTATAATTTTTTTTTGTCCAATTGGGGTTGGACGTGTCTGATTGGGGTCAGACTTTTTTTTCATATTTTTTTTATATTTTTTATAATTTTTTTTGTCCAATTGGGGTTGGACGTGTCTGATTGGGGTCAGACTTTTTTTTCATATTTTTTTTATATTTCCAATTGGGGTTGGACGTGTTTAATTGCTGTCTCTTATACACATCTAGATGTGTATAAGAGACAGCAATTGGGGTTGTCTGATTGGGTTAGACTTTTTTCGTATTTTTTTATAATTTTTAATATAATTTTTTAAAAAAATAAATTTTTTTATAAAATTACGTATGCATTACAAATGTATAATTACGGTATTATGTTTTTAAATTTCATTATTATTGTGATTACAAAACCGATTTCTGGTAATTTGAATAGTCGTATAAATTGTTAATAAATGTCATGTGTTGCTTGACACCAAAAAATGTGGAGTAACGAACCTTGATGTCAATCAACGCTACTTAAAAATATTAAACAATTTTATGGCGTTTTATGTGTAAAACAACATACAGTAAAAGTTTAAAGACACGTATAACAATGTATAAAAATGCGTATATTGATTGATGTTAAAAATGTGTATATTGACATGTCGGTAAACGCATTTATTATGTAATATTACCAATAATAATGATTATACAAACATTAATATAGTACATTAGTAATAATATCTAATTAACTACATATAATCAAAATCTCCTACATAAGCGTCTCTTATTAATAAAAAACAAAGATAATTAAGTTTCACAACGCCAGTTGTGAATTAAAGAACAAATCCCTCACCGAATTTCAATATGTTCAAGTGACCTATCCTCGGACATTTGTATCACCTTGTGTAGAATTACACTTCGGACTAATAAAAATATGAAAAACGCATATATAGATTTCTTATAGCAAATTTTTTAAAAACTTATTAAATACACGGAATTTTATATGGAATCTATAAAAATGTATACAGTACAAAACGTATCATTTTTTTATTAGACTTCTTGTAGGAAATTATTATCAAAAATTCCTTATAAATTCCGTATACACTGATTTTTCCGCATATATTAATTTTTTTAAAAAACATTCAAGAATGAATTACTTGTTAAATAAATACACGGAATTTTTATACGAATCGTATATCAAAAGTATATAAAACGTATCATTTCCTTATACAGATTTCTTATAGGGCAGTATATGTAAAAAGGAAACAATATAGTAGTTTTAAATACTGTATACCGTATATATTAAAATTAATAATCATAGAAAATATTGTATCCTTAATATAATAACAACTCTTACAGATGAAGAAATAGTACGTTTATTTCAAAATACAATATTGATGAAACAATATGAAGAAAAATAAACTCAAAACATCTTTCAAGATTCTAGAATAATTCGAATTATTCTGGAACAAATGGATTATCTTTAAATTATTAAATTATTCATAGGATAATCCGGTAAAAAACTCCAAGATTAATAATTTATTGACTTAATAAATGATTGAATTACGCGTAAACAGTTTGAATTAATCTGTTTTTGAAATCTAATAAAGGTGAAGAGATCTAAGTTTTATTGACGAAACGAATAATAAATTACAATCAATCATTTATTCATTTTTCCAATAAGAGTTAATAAAATACAATTGTCTATTGGTTACGTTTTTAGATAGAATTTTGTTATTATCGTACGGTTACATATGACCATAACATGATATATTTTTTATTGCTGTTAGTAGGAGGAGGTAAATAATATTACAATTATTAAAAGTATTTCCTTGTAAAAATTTTAATAAAATAAACTTATATAGACTATTGATAAACTTTTCTGTTTTGGTCAGGTCGTACGATAATGATATTATTACAGTACGCGAGCAATATTAGAAAATAGTTTAGAATAAATTATTTTCTCTTTTAAAATCAATTTTCGATTTGTTGTATGTGGTTTCTGAATACCGATGGAAATCGGATCTTGGCCAGCATTACGAAATCCTAGTCCGGCACTATGCTTTAATTCTGGCCAACATCCCGTATCCACATATGCATGTGGATTCGGAATCCATTTGATTTCGTGATATAACATTTATGCGTTGTCTTTTATAATTTTTTTAGAACTTGTATTATTAGATATCATAAGAAACTTTATTATTAAAACCAGCGTTAAATACAATATTTTTTACATATTTAATAAATATTAGTTATAAATATTTTTTTTTTTTTGCTAAATATACCAGTAGTAGGAGCAGGAGTTATTTTATTTTTAAATTTTAAAAAAGAGCAAATTTTTTTTATTGAATTTCATTTATCAAGTGATTTTTGTTAAAGAACAAATAAAATACACGATGGTTAAACAGATCTGTTGATATAGTGGTACAAGATCATCGAATTTTCCTGTAACAACAAATATGGAAATATCCGAAAACTTCAGTTCGGGTAATTATTGATCAGCCTGAGTTGGGCTAAGAATTTAAACCATCCGGTTTGTTACAAAAAAAAGAATTAACGGATAACTGGATATGGATACATGATCGTTTTAAGATGAATTTTTACCGTATTCGGGAAAAAGTAAAAAAAGTAAATCATTTCTCCTAAATTTATGTATATATCGGCAAATATCCGATCGAGAATCAGTTATTGATTAGTCGATCACAAACATCCTACGCCCCTATCATTGTTTTCTCTGATAATTGCATTTTTTATTGTTTAATATACGAAAAATGAATCATTGTAAGTTTATAACTAAATAGGATTAATACAAAAATCAATATTAAATAGGTATTTGATTCATCCTTAAAACAAGAGAAATTATAAAATAAATACATTTTAAATATGGCATCCTATAAATAGTATAAATGATATAGTCAATAAGCAAATCACTACATATTACTAAATTCCTATAATTTACTAATTACTCTATCTTATATTTATTATGTTGAACAGCGCCTTGGACCTGTACTTATATCATATGGTAACCATCTTTCGGAATGATTTGCAGCTAAATATGATGTGATATGAAGACATTAGTTTTAAAATGAACCCAAAATGATCAAATAATCCTATCATAAACTTACGTAGTTGATTGGGACTAGACCAACTTTGTTGCGACTATTCCTTGCTGGCCACCACATACTTTCAATATAACCAACTTCTAGTGATTCCCCTTCATAAAATGACAGCTCATTCTCATCTTGTGCGTCGTCTAATAAGTTGTTCGGAGAATGTAAATATTCTTTTTTAGCTCTGAAACCACTATTTTGGCCTTCTGTTTAAGCTTTTTCGTCAGAAGAAATAAAAATACTTACAGTCACTTAACGCAATGGCCCTGTACAAATAATCATTATTAGTGGGTGGATTATAAATATAATCGCCTTTGTCGGGAACTTCATATCTCCGTCTCGGGAAAACCAAGTAATAAGCACTGTGAATAACATTACCCAGTGCAAAACCGCTGAATAATAACAATGTTGACGATAAATAACCTTCGTCACAGTATAAATAAAAGCATAAATATCCAACATGCAAGTAAATCTGAATCACAAAAGGATATACGAATGCATATATTGTTTTTTCATTTGCATAGTCTTGTTTTCTAATGAGGTATAACAATGGAAGGGCGAGTAACATAGATAGAATACTAATCCATTGAAACACACCCATATATCCAGGAGGTGAAAATTCGAGTTTCATATAGATTTGAAAAATCATTTGATCAATATAGATTGGAACAAAGAGCCCGGCTCGAATAGTGTTGCGAACACTTTTAAATTTACTCGGGATACACTGAGTTAAAGTAGTTGCCCCGCATAAACCATACATAACAAGAGAACATAAATTAAGAAATCTAGGTAATTCTATACTATTTAATATGAAGAATTTGATCGTCATGAAAGTCATAAGAGCCAATACTGCCATTAATTGTGAGACTGCAGTTTGTACTAAAGATCTTTTTAATTTGGCAAATAAAGAAGTATCATTTTTGGAGGGATTGTTGAAGAAAGTCAAAAGTATACCACTAGAGAAGGATAAATAATTTCCAAACGCGACACTTGAAACGCTATGAACTATGTTATTGCATAGAGTTGGATCGGACAATACGGATGGTACGTTAATCAAGAATAATGATAAAACAATGAATTTTTTCATAGTTTACTAGACGAGAAAAGGAATATAATTTCGTGACCTCGAGGTATATTCCTAACAATAATATAGTAATGGAAAATAGAAAAAAATTTTTTTTTTTTATTGAAAATAACAGGCAATTTAATATTTTATCCAGCCTTATAAAAATTTTATTCCATGTTTTTTTTTATCTCATGTTATTTCCGTAAATGTATCATATTCACGGAGTTTTTACAGAAATTACAGATAAAATTTTTTACAGGGGACTAGTTATTCAAAATTTTCAATAATCTCTTGTTACACTTCGGACTAATGAAATGTCTTGCCGTTGTACTTAACAATCATTCCCGTTCCCTAGATCCTCAGGAGCTTGCGGATCGCATGTGATTTTTTTTTCTGTTTGTTAAATTAAATAAGCACATGCGGATTTCACTGACAATTTCGAAAGTTTCCGCATATTAATCTAGATATACGAAGTCCCGCATCTAAGATTTTCAATATACATGCAGATCTACTTAAGAGTATAATAAAATAAAATACACGATCAAAATGAACTAAATTCATATTATAATTTATTATGTAATGGGCATTTATAACCTAAAGGTTCATTTATTAAATGCTGCGAATTTAAAGAAACTTTATAATTAAATTTAGATGATTTAGATGCCACATATCCGTATCTAAGCCACTTTTGGTTGCGGGTGCGCAGCTGAAAACAATCGCCACTGCCGTAAAACAACCGGTATTTTATATTCTGTGCTTCTTATTTCGATTTATCGACGATCATCTGTAAATTGCTAAATTCCCTATGCTCGCGGCCACTGCCGTAAGGCACGGAAAAACAACGAAATGTCCCGGTATTTTATATTCTGTGCTTCTTATTTCGGAATTTACTCATCGATGGTCATAAGTAATTGCTAATAAATTCCATATTTAGTTAGTTCAAGGAAGTATTCCTTTGTCATGCAATAAATCGACTACAGACCTTTGACTAAAAAAATTGAGTCTGCGAATTATTTTTAACTATGAACGTAAAAAATTTGATATTTTTTCACTAGTTATACTAGAATGTGCAACTCCCCCCCTATAAAAAAATTGGATACGTTTTTTATAAAGTTTTTATACGATTTTTTTCCTTAGAAATAACGTATCATAATAGGATACGGAAAAATGCACAATTCCGTATCACTAAATATATGGTTTGGATACGGAATTTGCACGGAATTCATATGGAATTTACACGATTTGATCACTGATTTTATCACGAAATTTATACGATTTGGTCACTGAATTTACTATTTGTATTACAATTTACTATAATTATATTTACATAAATCTAATTTTACTTTATTAAATTAAAAAATAAAAAATAAACAAAATACAAATACATTATGAAAATTCCCTCCTCATTAAAACCACCTATTGCAACCAAAATTATCTATAAGTTCAGGTTCATTTGGAGTCAAACAACCTAAAAAAAACAAAAAAAGAAACATAAGAACGTCTAACTTAATTGGAAACAAAATCCCCCCATCATATAGTAGTATCTGCAATCGTCCAAATCACCAAAGGTCAGCATTCCTACAAAAAAAGAAAGAGAACTCCAGAATGTCTGACCTACATAAATGAAAAGAATTATGGAGCATCTGATGAAAAAGAAACCAAAACAACAAAATAAATCCAAAACTTACCTACAAAAAAAGAAGACTCTGAAGCAACAAAACTGAAACAACCTACAAAAAGAAAAGAATCTGAACCCAACTTACAAAAAAAAAAAAANAACGTACAGTGGTGTACGATATTAACGTACGAACTGGCCCGAGTTTAGGAGTTATGTACTTGCACATGATAGCGTTAACGTTAATTCTGGCCAGTTCGTACGTTAATATCGTACACTCTCACTGTACATTAAGTACAAATTTTAAACTTTGATCCGGTTTCTTACATGAAATCGATTATCTGCTGTCTCTTATACACATCTAGATGTGTATAAGAGACAGATTTTTAAAGTGAGGTACGAAAAAAAAATTTTTTTTTTAAAAGGAGGGTGACGAAAAAAGAAGAAAAATTTAGAAAAAATAACAAAAATAAGACAAGAGAAAAAGAGAAGGAAGGGAAGACAGAAAGGAAGATCGGAAGATCAAACTCATCAAAGTAAGGGTTTATATAAAAAACAAAAAACGTATCATAACAAACAATAAATAATCACATGATCTCGTGTTATGATACGAGATTTTTGTACTAAAAATATTAAGTTTAAAAATTCCGTATACATTCCGTATGATTATTTTTTTCCATATACACTTCATATACATTAGTTTTTTTAAAAATGTTCAAAAATGAATTGCTTATTAAATATACGGAATTTGTATACGGAATCTATAGAAACGTACATAAAATGTATACAAAACGTATCCTTTCCGTATACATATTTCTTATAGGGCCCAAGCACGATATTTATTATTATTATAAGTATATTTATTGTTCAGAAGGAAGAAAAAATCCTACAAATTTTTTTAATTTAGGGTTTTTTATTCATTGTCTCAAATTGTCCTGGTCAATCCAAATTATCTGGCGAAGGCTTAAACACAATATTTTGTATTTATAATAATTAAGGAAATATTGTTAATATCGTCGAATTTTACATTTATAAAGGTAAGATATTCCTTTAAGTATTGATTTATTGATTTATCTACAATGAAAGAAGGAGGCCTTTTTCCTTATATTCAGATGTATACAATAGCTAGTGGACATTTTTATCAAGGACAAAGCTTTTTTTTTTTTGAGAAAAACAAAAAAATTTTTTTTGTTAGAAAATTAGAAAGCAAGTATTTTTTCGTTTTTATAAAATTAGAAAGAAAGCAATTCTTTTAATTCTTTTCGTTTTTAAAAATTATTTTTTTTTTTCGTTATTTATAATAAAATAAAATAAAAAGTATTTTTTCCCCGTTTCTTTATTAGAAAATAGAAGACAAAGTATTTTTTTTCATTAGAGACAAGTAAAAAATAAAAATAAAAATATCGTAAAAAAGAAATGGTAACATTTATTACTAATTTAACAATCAATTGATCGAGTTTTTAATTTTTTATCAAAAAAGAGATCGAAATGATCTGCGAATAAAAAGATCATAATTTTTCATTATACGTTAAAGAATTCTTATTGGAAAATTTTTTATGTTCACGTCTTTGTACTGAATATTTGAGTACATGACAGATTATCCATTTTTTGCAGTTATTGGACCTGAGTCAGTGTTTGGAAAACTAAAAAAATATCCCAATCCGCCCTTTTAGCCACTAATTATTAAAAAAGATACGAAATCGATATGCATGTTGTGTGATATTTTCTTTGGCGTATGAGGAAAAGAGACGTAACTAATCATTGGGTTCACATCATACTTTTAGCCTATCTACTTTGCCATTCGGAAATTAGGAACGAATTAATGTGAGTTCATAATTCTAAATTTATTTGGTTATCTAAGGAAAATTTTTAATTGAAGATCAGTTGACTCAAAGACTTCGTAATTCATCCTCTAAACTAGTGCTTCGATCCGGATTGATCCGTTGATTAGCATCACAACATTTTTCTATTATTTTTGTCAAACTATAATTTTTGTCAGATTTAAAAAAATTATTCTTCTACAAATTTTATTAATTTTGGCCAAACTTATAGCTCCAACTCAAATAAACCGTTGCCAAACCGTAGTAAACCGCGGATTGATCCGTTAAAATCCCATCCGGATCGAAGCACTACTTTAAACGATATATAAATTTTTTATATAAATATTTATCATTCTTTACGGCAGGTATGTATCTGAAAGAAAGCGTACACAAAGAATTAAGTTAAACCACCATAATTAAAACGCAATGCTGTAATAATTTTTTTTTGCACACATACATGTACATTAATGATTTCTAATACACTCACATACAACTCCTTTAACAGACTGTTTTGGTACATCTTCTGGAGAATTTCCTATTGGCCATAACATTGGACTCTTGTCATCCCACATAAAAACCCAACCGTAACAATATGATCGAAGCAACTCGATTTATATAGTAAATTAGTTCTCGTGGATCACTATGACACTATCAAGAACCATATAATTGATTAAGGTTGCAATACGAGAATTATCTTCAAAATTTTCAACTAAAATAAAGTTATCACTTCTTTGGTGCTCATTTCTTGATTCTCGTACTTGGGTGTAGAGTACGAGTGTACAAATAAAATGGCAAGTTCCTCGAAAGGTTGCGGGTACCACATATCGCCTCCCAAGGAACAAATTCTGGACAATTGCCCAAATTGTGTCTGTATCCCTTTAATTGTTCTTCGGCTAAAACATTCCCCACATTCGATGCCCATTGCATCACTTCCTATGTGATGTTCGCCGTTGACGGGCGAAAGTCCACATCTGGTTGTATTATCATTATACTTTTCGCCAAACGTTCTAGAATCCTCTTCAGATAATCGACTTGTTCCTCTAGTTTTATTTCTCTTGACGGCTGATAGGCGAAAGTCCAAAAGAACCGAAAGGGTCATAGCACCCTGAGTTCTACATGAGAATTTATAGAATAATTATGCTTTGACACTTCTCTTTAATAAACAACTTGTTCTGCCCAATTGAAAAATTAATAGGTCAACTCAATAATATTTTAAAATCAGTTGGGCGTCCTTAACGTACAGTGGTGTACGATATTAACGTACGAACTGGCCCGAGTTTAGGAGTTATGTACTTGCACATGATAGCGTTAACGTTAATTCTGGCCAGTTCGTACGTTAATATCGTACACTCTCACTGTACATTAAGTACAAATTTTAAACTTTGATCCGGTTTCTTACATGAAATCGATTATCTGTATTCAAAACTAGATGCACGAACCTATACAATATAATACAATTCTAGTAGCATAAAATATGTTTTTTTAAAACTTTATTTATTTATTTTATTCATCCAATTTTCACGAAATTGAAATTGATATTTTCTTAGAAATTTTAATGAACTCAATTATGAAGTAGCCTAATAAGGTTATGATCAGTGACACAGGAAAGAATTTGGCGTAAATTTCTTACTTAATTTAGTAATCTACATAATGACCGAAGTAACATTATGATGGATATAATATTTAGCACAAAAAAGTATGTTATTGTATTCAGTTCTTTCATAATAAATATTGATTGTTTGGTTGCTTTGTTTGATCTTTGTAGTGCGAAATCGGAGTTGGAAAAAAAACAATTTTTTTTATAAAAAAATTTTTTTTTTTATTATCTTATCTCTGAAATTCAAAATTTCTCATTGTTTTCTTTATTTACCTTTTAAGGATTAAAATTATATCAAAACATCCCTTGCACAATTACGAAATAAAAGTTGTATCAGAAGGAATTCTCCCCTAAACTTTCGTTCGTGTAAGCAAGCACCGCCTAATTTTCTTATTTATCGCTATCAGATCAATTTTAAATTGTCACACCCAATAAAATTTGACATAATATCGATAGACCACTGATCACTTTGGCGCAAATCCGACTTGTATTACTGTTTCACCACCCCAAGCGTTTTTCATCAATCATTGAATAATGAAGATCACAAATTCATAATCGTCTTATAAAAAGGCTTGAAAAAAATTTTCATGAAAAATTCTTATTCCCGTATTTATTATATATCTATCGATAAAATTATAAACATTTAAAAGATATTTTTCAATTGACAATTACTGTATTTGAATTAAAAATTAAATCTTTTCTAATATTAGCAGTAGATTTATTTTAATCGATAAACTCGCGTCATAACTAATAAATAATGTTCTAATTTCTCTTCCCTTTCCTCTTTTTTAAATTATATTATTTAGAATATCTCAACGTCCTCAATACTCAAATTTAATTAGTAATTTAATTATAGAATATTTAAAGACATAAATACGAATTTTTCTTTAATCATTAAACTATGCAATCACAAATTCAAAATTTTGGAAAACCAACAATCAATTCAACTTCATTCACCACCAATACTCCATTTAGTCCTCAACTTGATAATACTCTCAACGTTTCGTCATATATAAATGATGCGCGAGACATTCCAGTTGCTATTGACAATATGTTACAAGTTTCGCCTATTATCACGCAACTTTCTATGCCACCTACTCAATTAAATATGAATGAGAATCAAGCTTTCAATATCCAAGAAATGATCCCACGCCATACTTTACAACCCATGCAAGTTTATCAGCAGATGCCACTTCAATCACCTCATCCACCTTTATTAACTCATTCTCAAAAAACTGATATTATAAGCGAATATTCATTCTTTTACGCACCTTGCAATGATTTCCAAACGTATCATATCATTTGCAAAGAAATACCATTTAATTTTGAAAGTGTATCTCAGTTAATAAGCAACACTAATAATAACTTGATGAATAATTACGTTCAACCTAACAACATTTTTGTGTTTTATCATGAACAACCCGAAATTAAGAAGATTTATCAAGTAACTTGTGAAATGGTTTCACATACATTTTTATTTCAATATTTAAATAAAATTATTTATAACATTCAATTCGTTAATTATGAGTATCAACAACAAGAATTTTCTAAGAGACATCAAGAAAATCTCAAATTTCATTTGAAAAAAGATCTAGTTTATTATTTGGCACAAGTAAATACCTATGACGATAATTATAATGTACAAAAGAGATTTATTCAAGATTATCGTACTTATGAAAGTATGATAAACTCTAATACTTATATACCTCCTAACCATTCTAATATTCCTTTTCCCTTTGATCAATCTTATACTTCTCAACAAAATAATAACTGTCAAATGGTTAGCTCTCAAAATAATGGTAATTAATAGTTCTATGATAATTGATAAAATATTATTTACTGTAGTTATTGTTTACTATATGTATTTTACAAATATATTATAATAAAGGCAATACCTTTTTTTACTGGTTCTTATAGACTGGAATTTTTCTGAAATTTGTCAAATTGAAATTTTTTTTTTTTTTTGGTTTCTTAATTCAATACCAAAAATAATTTATTTTAAGCCGTTACATGATTAAAATATATTGCGTCAGTATTGTCCTTGAAATTTCCTGAACTTTTAGAATTAAAAGAAAAGTAATCTACAAACGAAATAATATAATATTAACCGTTAATAAATATAATTTAAAGTGAAAACTCATATGGGCGGATTTGATTCACGGGATAAAATTACTTTATTGCCTCATTGGTCCTTTTGCGTAATACTAAACTGATCAGCAAACACAAGATTTCACATCAGGGGAGTTGTAAATTTTTTTTGAACTTGCCAACGTTAAAAAAAAATATTTTTTTAAAAAACCGTGTTTTAACCCATCCGACTTAGTCACAACCCATCTGACTAGGGTGTGTCAGACTGGAATATTTAGTGGCTAGTTTTCTATTTCTTTTTTTTTCTTTTTACCTTTTAGGCCGGGCAAAAAAAATTTAGATTTTCGTGACCGGCCGGGTCAGTTTTTCGAAAAATGGAAATTTTTTTTATAGTAAAAAATTTTTATCACGTGATTTTAAGTTTTTGGCCAAAATTTTTTTGCCCGGCCTTAGATCTAAGAATTTTTTTAAAAAAATATTATTCAAAATTCTCCTTTTTTTTGCTTATATAGGTTCATTTGAGAAGACTTATTGTAAAGATATTTTGAAAGTACTATCTTTATATTTCACTATTTTTTTGTCGTAAGTGTTGAACGTTCAAAATGTTTATTTTTCTTATTACATTAAATTTAAAGTATTTATAGATATTGTATTTATAATTTAAAAATCAATTTTAAGTTTTAACTTGTAGACTCGTATATACTTGCGTACTTTTTAAAATTAGAAATTAAATTAAAAAAAAAGCCAAAGTAAAAAATGGCGTTATCATATGATGTTACACTGATCTACATAACATAAATCTGGCCAAAATGATGTTAATTCCGGCCAAATTAAAATCGCATCAATTTTTTAATCACACATCTTTATGGATATCGTGCAACGCATCCTTAACTTTGCTGTGCCTGCATAATGCAAAAATTTAGCATATTTAGGTGATGAAATAAATCCGCCGATATGAATGTAGACACATGTAATAACTGATAAATAATTATTTTAATTTTAAACTACTGTTGTATATTAGACTACTAAATATTGTACCGAATTATATATCATTTATTACTTAAAAAAATCTTAATTAATTTAGTTACATAATGCTTAATTGCTTAATTGTAAAGGTAACTTGAAAAAATGTTTTAGATAGCTGCATATTCTAATTATTCTATACTTGTCACAACTAGTACGTATCTACTGAAGATCGCTATTAAGAAATTACCAATTATAGCCAATAGCATACCCTGTTTCCAATAATCCAATTTCCAAGATATTAAAACATCATTGAATTTTATGTTAAAATAATGTTTGTATAACATATGAATGTGAAAATTGAAATAATAAAATAAAATAAATAATCTTATTAATGAAAATTTGCTATAAATGAGATTATTTATTAGTGCTCCGCAAAATTCGGGTCTAACCCGGATAATTCAATCCGAGTGAATTTTAAATCGGGTCGGTACTAACAATTTTAATAACCCGTGACCCGCATGACCCGACCCGTCGGGTCGGGTCATTCATTTCCTTGACTCGAGTTTTGACCCGAATTAGACCCGGATGATCATTAAAATCACTGATCACATATCGATTACACGTTAATATTGATTACGTTATATAATTTTGTTAGATGAATGAGGTAGTATATCCTCACTTAGCGAAAATTGCTAGAGACACCTTGCAATTTCGGGTATGTGTATGAATTATTATTTTAATTATTAATATTACATTAACTAATAAGATGATTTTGATGATTAATAAAGCAACCAGCATTCCAGTAGTTTCCAGTGGAACCGATTTGAACGCTGCAAAAAGATGTAGTCTTAAAGCAGATACAATTAGAGCATGCATGTGTTTAAAGTCCTGGCAGATATAAAGTATAGTCAAATTTCTGTTAAAGCAAGTGATATAATTTCGATTTTATAGTTCAAATATAAATCAATAAATAAACAGAAATTAAAGATATCTTTAAATTCGTGCTTAGCTTTAGTTTTAATAACAAAAAGTTGTGTGACCTTTATGATCATCTTGTAGATCAATTACCTTGCGTTATTGAAAAAATTATATTTGAAAAAATATTTTTGATATATTACTAAGCATACAGTATATTATCCAATGAAAATTTCGGGTCTAACCCGGGTTATTCGAATTAAATATACTCGGGTCGGGTTAAAATCGGATCATTTCTATTTTTGCCGGGTCGAGTCGGATATATTCTCCAAACCTGACCGAATCCGACCCGGTAGGAGCACTATTATTTATGCATTGCATTTTTTTCATATTTAAAATTAGACATAACAAATCGTAAAAGAAATCATATGTTTAACTCCTTACTTAGCATAGCACCGACTGTAGGCTAATATTAATTAAAAATTTACAACGTTCAGTCAGATTTAATGTATGCAAAAATTAAGGTTATAGTTACAGTATAAAGATAGAATCATGCTTACTAAATTTATATTAACGGAAGGGAGATCCATTAAATAATTGAACCGTAAATGGATCATTTGTTATTTGTAATGGTAGTTGCACAGGCACAACTTTAAAATTATGTTAAAAGGTGCATATCTTCTATATGTTCTTCTAATAATTCTACGTCTTTGACGTTGAATTCGTTGAATTCTTCTATTAATCATTCTTTGATACAAGAATCTAGTAAATTGTTTAATGATATTGTAAAAAATAAAGTTGGAGAAAGTAAAGAAACCAAGTTTTTATAGAGAAATTAAATAAAAGTATTAGTAAATAAAGGGATTGTCCCTCCAAATTGATGAAATATACTGAAAGCGATAGCATACAAATTTAAAACTACTTGATTATCTGAACATACACGAACCTATTAATCAATTTGTGTATAATTCTTTAAAATACAAGATTTATAAATAACGAAATCATGAACGAATGTAAAAGAAAAGAAAAATATCAATCGACAGAATGAACTGAGAGCGATAACATATGAATTTATATGAATTTGAAACTTGGATCAGAAATTTGAAGGCAAAACTCACGTGATTCACGTTGATTCACTTTTACAAAATGGAAATCTAAATACTGTAAACCAAATTAAGGAAACTAAACATCCAAAAAAAGGTATGTTTATATGTCAGAATAAACAATTTTTCTTTGAAGTTGACCTTCACAGTATTAAATAAAATCACTTTCGTTCTTTGAAGTTTTAAAATAAATTCTCCTGCATTGTAATGAACGTCAAATGTGGTTGTTATGTACTACTATATTAAACTATTTGAAAATCGTAATAGGTAATTTTAAATATATTGTTTAAACCTTAAAAAAAAAAGATCATTTTAAACTTATGTAACAATAACAAAAATATTTTCTTTGTTTTACAACTGCTGAAATGAAGGCTGATTTTAAAGTTAGTTTAAATCATGAATCATGATACGCTGTATTATATGTGTTTCCGTAATTCATAAAGTATTTTGGGAAACTCAGTCAAAATACTATTTGTCACATATTCGTCGATGTGTTGTTCTCTACGGCCACGTGTTGGAATATGTTGATTGGTGAGATCTATTTTTAGAAACTGAGCGGCAAAATGCTTACATAATGAAATTAATCCCATACAATAAATAGTACATCATATCATATGCAGACAGATAACAAGATAACAAGCCGAAGTTATAGTAATTGTAATGTCACGTGATTAACTTACAGTAGGATTATTGATTTTAGAAAAAATTTTGTTCATTTTTTTCGATAATTGTAAAGTGTTCTTTGGGATGACAGGTGAAACTTAAATTATGTGTATTGCTGTATGTTATTATGTTATTTATACACAAAAAAAAAAAAATATTCCAGAAATTACAGTATAATATAAAAGGATTTGTTCTAGAATATCCCATAAAATTCTATTGAACAGTGACATGATAAAGTTGATCATTGTGATAGGTAAACAATACAGTGCTGCGAGTGAAATGAACTACAGCAAATATATTAACTTAAATATTTCCTTTTTTATATATTGTTTTATAGAAAGTTACGTTACTCAAATTATTATTTGATTTTCATATAAAAACTTGCGTTTCGGGATTAAAAGGTTAAAAAAATTAGGAAATTTGGCTTAAATATAAAGTAACTTGGGCTGGTTTGTGCTCATTATGTTGTACAAAATCTCCGACATGTCTATGCTTTTTTCTTATTAAAATTCTGTACTATTGATAAAATGATAGTCATAAGTACATGTTCATTTTCATATAAATTGTGATTTATATAAAATTATAATATAATATTATTTTATTTAAAAATTTGTGATAAGTATATGACACGAAAAAAACAAGTCTCTAGGATCAAAAATCAGAATAATAAATAAATCGATTTTTTCAATAGGATATATAATAATAAAAAATTTTATTTAAAAAAATTTAGATGATACGAAAAAAAAACACCAAGATAAAAAATTACGAATATTCGAATAATGAATAAATCAATTTTTCGCAAAATATATAAAAAATTTGTAGGTATGTATATACTATGATACGAAAAAAAAAACCGGGGTCAAAATCAATATTTCAAAAAGTATATAATAATAAAAAATTTGGTTTAAAAATTTGTGAATACAGTAGTACGTAAGCGATAAATATATGATACGAAAAAAATAAATCGCCAGGATCAAAAATTACGAATATTCGAATAATAAATAAATCAATTTTCACAAGGTACATAATCATAAGAAATTTAAAAAATTGTAAAAGCGATAAATATGATACG